GATCGCCCTGGCCAACATGCCCCAGAAATTCACCATCCCCAACATGAAACCGTACGATGGTACCACCAACCCGGATGACCACATAGCCTTGTACAAGCAACGGATGTTCACAGTCTCAATACCCCGACCGCTTAGGGAAGCCTGCATGTGCAAGAGTTTCGGTTCTAGTTTATCCGGCCCGGTACTCCAATGGTACACGAACCTCCCGAACAGATCCATCGACTCATTTGCCCAACTTATCGACACCTTCATGGAACAGTTCGCCAGCAGCAAAAAACTAGAGAAACAATCGACCGACCTATACCGAATATACTAGAGAAGGGGAGAGTCACTGAGAGAATATGTTGGCAGATTCAACAAAGAAAAGATCTCTATCCCGTCATGTAACCCCGAGACAACTGTGGACGCTTTCAGGAAATGCCTCCTCCCGGGCAGAGAACTGTACAAAGAACTGACGAAGCTAGGTTGTACCACGATGGAAGACGCCTTGGCCAGAGCAGCGATTCAAATAAGGTGGGAGGAAGATGAGACAAATCAGGCAATTCACGCCAGGTATGACTGAATGCAGAACGACAGGAGGCCAGAGCTTAGATCGATTGTAGGCCCTACAAGGTCACCAAAGAAGCAGGGAAGGGTGCCTACCTGCTCCAAACTCCTATAGCAAAGACATCAGCAACAGTTGGAACGCAATCCATCCCACATGCTACTACTTTTAGGTGAAATCAATCTAAATATTTGTTGTCTTTTCATTTTTTATTTAAAAAGGATGAGTGGGCCCATCCACTGCCTTCATAGACAGTCGGTCTCACGGCCTTCATAGACAGTCGGTCTCACGGCCTGAATTCAATGAAGTATTATTCAGCAACTGACACCTTCGAATCAGCCTTGCTCGATTCATGAGTTTTCACACTTCGGATCGGCCTTGCCCAATCCACAGATTTGCATCTTCAAATTAACCTTGCTCGATCCACGTAATTACACCTTCAGATTGGCCCTGCTCGATCCATGGATTTACACCTTCGGATTGACCCTGCTCGATCCACAGATTTACATCTTCAGATCGACCCTGCTCGATTAAATGTTTATTACACCTTCGGATCAACCTTACTCGATCCACGGATTTGCATCTCCGGATCTACCCTGCTCGATCCACGTAATTACATCTTTGGATCGGCGTTGATCCACGGATTTACACCTTTGGATTGGCCCTACCCAATCCACAGATTTACACTTTCAGATCGACCTTGCTTGATCCACGGAGTTATACTTTCGGATCGGCTATGCCCGATCCATGGATTTACACCTTTGGATTGACCCTACTCAATCCACAGATCTACACTTTCGGATTGGCCTTGCCCGATCCATGGATTTACACCTTCGGATCGACCCTGCTCGATCCACAGATTTACACCTTCGGATTGACCTTGCTTAATCTATGGATTTACACCTTCGGATCGACCCTGCTCGATCCACAGATTTACACCTTCGGATTGACCCTGCTCAATCCACGGATCGACACCTTCGGATTGACCCTGAATCTATGAATTTACACCTTCGGATCGACCTTGCTCGATCCATGGATTTACACCTTCGGATTGACCCTACTCAATCCATGGATCTACACTTTCGGATTGGCCTTGCCCGATCCACAGATTTACACCTTCGGATCGACCCTGCTCGATCCACAGATTTACACCTTCGGATCGACCCTGCTCGATCCACAGATTTACACCTTTAGATTGACCTTACTCAATCTATGGATTTACACCTTCGGATCGACCCTGCTCGATCCACGGATTTATACCTTCGGATGGACCCTACTCAATCCATGGATCTACACCTTCGGATCGATCCTACCCGATCCACGGATTTACACCTTCGGATCGACCCTACCCGATCCATGGATTTATACCTTCGGATCGGCCATGCACGATCCATGAATTTACACCTTCGAATCGACCCCGCTCGATCCACGGATTTACACTTTCAGATTGACCTTGCTCAATCCACGGATCTCCACTCTATCCGACTGACCGACCGACTCAACTCTACCATCCCCCCTAGGAACCAAGTATTGGACCTCTACTCTACCCGACCGACCGACTGACTCAACTCCACCATCCTTATTCCCCAAGAACCAAGTATTGGATCTCCACTCTACCCAATTGACCGGCCGACTCAACTCCATCATCCTTATTCCCCAAGAACCAAGTATTGGATCTCCACTCTACCCGACCGACCGACCGACCGACCGACTGACTCAACTCCATCATCCTCCTTAGGAACCAAGTATTGAACCTCCACTCTACCCGACTAACCGACCGACTGACCGACTCAACTCCACTATCCTCACTCCTCAAGAACCATGTATTGGATCTCCACTCTACCCGACCGACCGATCGACTCAACTCCACCATCCTCTCTAGGAACCAAGTATTGGACCTCCACTCTACCCGATCGATCGACCGACTCAACTCCACCATCCTTATTCCCCAAGAACCAAGTATTGGATCTCCACTCCACTCGATCGACCGACCGACTAAACTCTACCATCCTCACTCCTGAGGAACCAAGTATTGGATCTCCACTTCAACCTACCGACCGACCGACCGACTCAACTCCACTATCCTGACTCCCCAGGAACCATGTATTGGATCACCACTCTCCCTATGCCACTGATCGATCGACCGACCGACGTGGTCTTTTCAAACTTTGATTGTCACCACTCACCCCACCCCACCCCACGCCACCGATCAACACACAGACTTAACCTGTCTAAAAGATTCAATCGCCCTTCCTACCCAACCGAGCCAGCACATTGCAACAGGCCGGCTTCCGCAACCAAACTGACACTCCCATGCTTCACGCCCAAGAGATTCTCCAAATCTGGGTGATTGGCTAAGAGCAGTCTAGCACTTGTTCACTCTCGAGGTGATCAAGCCAAGGGGCCTCGCCCATTTGGTCTTCCACAGCGAACGAGTGGGCAGCCATGGGTCAAATGTTTGCACATTTTTGTTTGGCCCTTTGGCATCCAGTAAAGAGCGCCGTGGAATCACAAGCGCAAGTCTTACGGTCCAACAAGCCGGCCGAGCCGATTCCATCCCACTTGATCACCCGAGTACCTCGACCGAGCAAGCATCCAGTTTAACGGTCATGTTCATTCGCCCAGCCCACCGAGCGGACACTGCTGCAATAGAAACACCTCACCTCTCTAGTCGGCAGGACGTACCGAACGAGCTTATGAGCCCCCAAAGCCTCGTTGTCCATTCCATCAACCCTTCATACCGATCAGGCACACCACTCCAATGATGGCATACTCCGGATCGGCAATGGATACCAAACGACCCTGGGACAAGGATCACCTGCAATATCAGCTACACCAATAACTGGTTATCCCGGAAGGATGACCGAGCACCCATCGATCGCTTCCTACTCTCTGACTTAAGAAACTATTAACTCAGAGAGTGGGGGGCGAACTGTTAGGGCAAAAAATCGTCCTTGGCCCAAATAGGAAAACGGGCTCGACACTAAAGAAGAAGCCAGGCTCAATCCCGTATGACCCAACCGGATTAGGCCCTTTTGGTACAAGATATAGCCGGCCCAAACCACGTGGGCACGAGCCTCCTAATCCCAGTCCATTTCCTAGGTCCATGAGCGAATCCAGAGCCCACAGCCCCTCAGAATACTTTCCTACTCCTGATCAATCTCCCATTCAAGGTCACCTTCCTATTCCTGATCACTTTCCTACTCAGAGTTACTCTCCTAATCAGAATCACCTTCCTATCTGGGCACTGGTAAGACAGCTTACCACGATCCTAATTCTTCTAGGGTTTGCATCAGAGTCACACTAGGACTCTTACTTCTGTCAGGATTGGGAGACTAGACAGTCACTATATAAGCAGAGGCTAGCCCTCTCACAAGACACATTACATTATAACTTCACACTGAAAGCTCTGACTTGAGAGCTTCACATCACCGTCGTAGTCACAGTCCCTGACTAGACTTTCGGTAACCTTTACTCCCTAGCCCTCACTATATTAGTCTCTCTCAGTCTTGTTGACTTGAGCATCGGAGTGCCTACGGCAAACACCATCCCGATGTTTCCCGCTTGCTTTACGCGTTTGTTTTTCTATGTGTGTAGGTACAATAGATCGCTAGTGGTTTTAACCTCATGAGATCAGACCCCTCTTCTGTATAGGTAGACTTTTATGTCTACAATATTGAAATCTGAAAGCTCGAGGGAGAGCTGTGAGATAACAATGGTGGGTACATTCTGGAAGACGAGAAAATTTTAATGGTATTGTGAGTGGTGGGTTCCACCAAACACCTCATATAAACCTTGCATTCATTAAGACATGTGGCAAAAATTCCTTCGTGATTTGGAGTCCATTACCAATTATTTTTCATTAATTAAAAAATGAAAGCGGGTTGATATTCAATAATTCAATGAGAGATTTTTTTTATAATGGGCTTATGTGTTCTTTGAAATTATGATCTGAGGCCAGCTATTTCTCCTAGAAAAATGATACAGGTATTAAAAAATATATACCGAATTTATGCATCGATGACGTGACACCATTATGATCGTTGATTAATTATAAATTTTTTTAAAGAAAAAAAATGATGTCACGTCTTCTGTGCATGAATTCGATATACATTTTTCGATAACTGTAGCATTGCTCTTTCTCATATACTCTAAGTTAGTAAATAAACTTGAATAACTCTAGAAGAGAGGCCTTTCCTTTCTATAAGCTTTATGAAATGGTTAATTACATTACAATATATAATTTTCTAGTTTTCAAAATTAGAAGGAACTTCCCTAATCTCAATATAACTCTAATTATGCATTAATTACAATATCATTACAGTCTAAAGATCAAGAGGAAGAACTGAAGATGTCGACTATAAATCTATACATATATCGGTATATTCTTTGTTTTAATAAACGATATTAGATAAATATAATCGATAAGGGTCAGACTTAAGAGATTTATATATCATACATCTAGAAAAAAAAGTTTATGTCATCAATTACATTAATTAATAATATAAGTAAAATAAAATAGGGCCAATTTCTCAAATGGCTTCTTTTCATTACACTTTTGAGGATGAAATAATGCCATATTATTCACTTTTAAGCTGATGGATATGCTAATTAGATCTACATTAATCAGTTTCTATTTCCCACTATATGTCCCTTCTGTTGGTTCAATATCCAAAACCAAGCCTCTCGAGAATTCAACATAAGGATAGGCAACTGGGAAATCATCAGCTTTTATTTTCCACCTGCAGTTTTAAGGGACACACAGAGAACAAATTAGTATATATTCAATGAAAAGGGAATAAAGTGGTGAGGATTTTTATTATATAACATGGATGCTCAATTCCAATCTAAAATAGTGTTTAATTGTACGCATGAATATTAAAATAACAGTGAAATATCATCAACGAGATTATGCAGTTTCCCGATAAGTGGGAAGCAGTTGGTTATTATACCAGAATATATATTAATCTGTGACTTGAGATGTACAATAATCCATGCATGTCCTAATTAAATGGGGGATTCTTGCTGATATTTTACCTATAATTCAGGACAAGATGATGAAGGAAGAATGAGATTTCGACTTTAGCCAGTTCTGCTCCTGGGCAGAATCGTGGTCCTCCACCAAATGGCATCACCGTTTTGCTCATTGCTTTATAATCCTGCGATCAACATACAAAAACGATCGGAACATATTAGCTAGAGATAAGAAAGAAGTTATAGTTTATGTTATCTGCTTATCAACTATTTCCTGCAGCTATATGGGAAGAATATGGTTCTGCAAGTTCAGATCACAGCAGAAAGAGTAAGATATAAACAAGAGTGGTTAATGTAGGGGAGGCTAGCTATGCGTACAGTCCATCTCCAAGGATTGAATTCCGAAGGATTTTCATGAAGAGTGGGGTCAAGGTGTACCGCAGTAAAGAGTGGAAAAACATACCATCCCGAGGGAATGAAATAGTCTGCAATATAATTGAGCCATAAAATTAGAATGCAAGAAAATAAATATGAAGCAATAGATAAATTAAACTTAATGCAAACAACAAACCTTTGAATACGACATCTTGAAGGGCTTTGCGAGGGACAAATTTGGCAACATTTCCGCATCTCGTAGCTTCATGTATTACCTATAAGCAAAGCATTTGTTAGTTTCCTCCTGTAAGCATGTTGAACTTTTATGCAGGAAAACAGTTAATTACTCTATATTTACATTGTTGGTAAACTCCATTTTCTGGAAATCTTCCCATTTCAAGGATTCCCCATCTTCTTTGTTTTTCCTGATCGCATGGTGTTCTTCCTGTAATACTCAACAAATGAACCCTTTAGAATATGTATGCAGATATTGATGTACAAGGAGACTAGGAAAAGGAACACAGAACGAATTAAAGATACCTTTAATCGTTGAAAAACATTGGGCGCATTGGCAAGAAAGTAAACAATTAAAGCTATAAGTGTAGCAGTCGTCCTATGGCCTGCACGCAAGATGTCTAAAACTATGCTTACTGTCTCTTCATAGCTCAGGCCCCGTTTCGCCAGAATCACATCTAAGAAGTCTTCTTCCCTATGCCGCGAAATATCTTGTTCTCTTTCTCTTATAATCTCTTTCACAGTCAAAGATAGTCTCTCGCTAGCCTTAACATTAAATCATTTTTGTCATATATAATTAAACATTCAACACGTCAACTGATATATATTTGTTTGTAGCAATTTTTTGTTACCTTCAAAGCTTTTGCATAAGCTGTCCCAGGGATATTTATTGGCAAAGTCTGAAAACCTTTCATGTAAGTTTCAAAATCTTCAAGTATTTTGAAGGCTAGTGGTTCTTCTGGCTCAATACTCAACAGTTGCTTCACCATAAGATAGAGCGTAAACTGTGTTATATATATCACAAAATTAATGAGTTTAACATTAGTTTATAAGTTTTCCTCCTGAACTTAAAATTAATTCTTCCTTAATTACCTTTTTAGTTTCTTCGCAGAAGGAAATTTGTTTTTGTTCTTTCCATGAGTCCATTATTGAGAGTGACAGTTTCTCTGCAAAGAGAAGGAAGAGTGGATTTGAATTGGAGGCAGTGATGAAGCTGACGGCAATATTTCTTAGCTTCTTGTGAAGTTCTCCGGACACCGCGTGTAAAGACAATTTTCCAACAACGTCAAGCACGGGCTTGGGGTAGCTGGCTCGAAATAGCTTCTCCTCATTCTGAAGTACAAACAAGTTGAGCACCGGGTCACAGGAAACGATGGCCGGGGAACCATATAGATGTGACTTGAAAACTTTTCCATACCTGCAATACACAATCTCATGATCTCTTGTCACATATTTGATGAAATCAAGCACATAACTCATCAAAGACAACACAAATACCTGGAGCAACGTTTCTGTAGGAATCTACCCATGGAACTTGATCTATGAGGCTTGAGGAAGCTAAGAGTCTCTCCAAAGACGGGCCATCCCATTGTCCCTGGAGGCAAGTTTTTGGGTTCTCGTTTTGCAAACAGACGTGGGACTACAAGTAGAGACAAACATAGACCCAACAAGAGAAATAAAATGACAAAGACTAGCTCTTCCATTGCACACTTAACCAAAGCCAGACTTCATATATAAGCTTGGAAGCTCTTTATACTTGCTCAACTCAAAGAGATTTGCCCTTTAGTACACCTGAAAATGTTGGATTTGGCAGGAATGAAAGGGAAAGAAGAAAAAGATGAACACCAGGAAAATTTTTTTGAAGAGCCGCGTGTTCCTTATGCTTTTCATTATTTTTAAACTTCAGTTTATACATCAGCTTTTATCAACTATTACACCAACCGTTACAGTGATTTTATATGGATTACAGATGGACCACAGAAACTTAACTAATATAAAAAATATCTAATATTTATAATCCTTAAAGTCAACTGCACTGCTTGGAGTGCGTAGTTAACCAAGCAGCTAACATAATCAGCATGATTTCAGCTCCAAACTTCAACTTTCTTCCGGCTTGCTTACTGCTGCTCGCACTATTTCAGTTTGCATTTATTTGTCTATAGCTCGCATCAAAACCTAGCTATTTCAGCAAGATATTACTTGCATTAACACTCCTCTTTGATAACTTTGTTGGAAACATCAAGTTTAAGGTTAAATTCTTCAAACTTGGTCTTGTTTAGAGTCTTTGTCAAGACATCAACGACTTGCTCTTCGGTCCTGCAATGAACAAGCTTCACTTCCTTGTCTTCTTTAGCTTCTCTAATAGCATGAAACTTGATCTTTATGTGTTTGGTTTGACCATGAAACACAAGATTCTTGGCCATTGTAAAAGCTGATTGATTGTCACAAAACACTTCGGTAGCTTCAATCTAATATTGCTTTAAATCACTCAAGATTTTCCTCAACCAAACTGCTTCATTAACAACAACTGTAGTAGATATGTATTCTGCTTCTGCTGTTGATTGAGCCACTGTTTCTTGCTTCTTAGAAATCTAACTAAATGCACCAGAATTCAAGTAAAACACATAGGCTGAAGTACTTTTCATATCTTTTATTGAACCTGTCTAGTCACTATCAATGTAGCCAATTAATTTGAAATTGGCTTATCTCCCGAACTAGATTCCTAAGTCTTCAGTCCCCTTAAAGTGAATTTCAATAGGTGCATTCATGGATCTAGAGAGTAGGCTGGCTGCATACATGATATCAGACCTTGTTACTGTTAAGTACAACAAGCACCCAATTAAGCTTCCATATCTCATTTCATCAACCTTGCCAGCTCCATCATCTTTATAAAGTTTCTGGTTTTGCAATAAATGAGTGCTCCCAGACTTACATTCATGCATGTTGAATTTCTTTAAGATTTCATTGGCATATCTTCTTTGACAAATAAATATGCCATCCAAGGATTGATGCACTTCCATGCCAAGGAAGAAAGTCATCTCCCCCAAATCTGTCATCTCAAATTCTTTCCGATTCAATTGATCAAGGCTGCTTCACAAGCAAGTCATCCACATATAAGGATACTATCATCAAATCACCACCAATCTCCTTTACATACAGAGTGTGTTCATTAGGACTTCTATTGAAACCAAGGCTTCCCAGATGCTCATTGATTATGATATACCAGGCTCTAGGAGCCTGTTTTAAGCCATATAAAGCCTTCTTCAACATATACACTTTATCCTCACTCCCTTCAACTGTAAAGCCTTTTAGTTGCTCTACATATATCTCTTCATGGAAGTAGCCCTACAAGAAAGCTGACTTGACATCTAATTGGAGAATCGTCCACCTATGTTGAACTACTAAGGCTATCAGCAACCTTATTGTGTCATGTCTTGCAACTAGAGAAAGCGTATCTGAAAAATCGACACCATATTGTTGTCCATAACCCTCTGCCACTAATCTGGCCTTAAAATTGGATTGATCTATCCGGATTCATCTGAGTTTTGAAAATCCATTTAACTTAGATAATATTTCTATTTGTAGGTCTGTTCACAAGACTCCAAGTTTTATTCTTCTCAATCATACTTATCTCTTCCTTCATTGCAGCTATCCACTCTTCTAATTTGGCATGCTTCAATGTAGTTTGTAGGCTCCATAACAGCTACATTGCATCTCTCATACACATCAGCCAATAACTGAGTGCCTTTGATTGAAACTTCTGCATCAAAATCTGAATTTTCTTCAAGATCATCTTGGTTTGAAGAAAATTCTTTTCCTTGCTGTAATCTTTTATCATCTTAAACTTCATTTCTTTCCTAATTCCAAGTCGAATAATCATCTACCTTGAAATCTTGATTTATTAGAACTTTCTTTGTTTTTGGATTGAAGATTCTATAAGCTTTAGCCAAGTTGTTGTAGCCAATTAGGATTCTAATTTTAGCCTTCTCATAAAGTTTGCTTTTCTTGTTGTCTGGAATGTGAGAGTAACATATGCTCCCAAATACATGATTCACACCTAGTTTAACTCCATACCATGCTTCAAATGGAGTTTGATTATTCCAGACTTTGGTTGGAAGTCTATTTAGCAGATAAACTGTTGTATTCACAGTTTCTAACCAAAATATTTTTGGCAGATTATTTTTCATACAACATGCATCTTGCCATCTCCATAACAATCCTATTCTTCCTTTCACTCACTCCATTTTGTTGAGGAGTGTAAGGACTGGTAAGCTGATGCTTTATTCTAGCTTCAATGCAATGTTTCTCAAACTTAATAGAAGTGTATTAAGTTCCATTATCACTTCTAATAGTTTTAATGCTGGAACCTGTTTGATTATCCACCATAGCTTTGAACTCATTAAACACCTTAGCCACTTCACTCTTCTATTTCAAGAAATAAATCCAACACAGCCTTGAGTAGTCATCGATAAACAGAACAAAAATATCTGCTTCCACTTAAAGAAAGGGTCTTCATCAGTCCACACATACCAGTGTGGATGAGTTGCAACTTTTTGTAAGCTCTCTGTTAGTGTATATTAGTGTTGCACTATAAACCATTCGTGTTGTCGGTTTCAGAGCATTTTGTCTTGTATCTATATATATCATAAATAATAAGAAAGAGTTCTTCAATTCATATATGTAATTGCTCTTTATTCAGTCATCTTTAAGATAAAGTATGTATATGAATTGTCCAGATGATTCATTTAATAGGTAAATGAATTGCGAAAAGTGTTCCCTACAGTAATATAAATTGGGGCAACTATATTTCACAGTAGGCATACCGGTGCTTCCGAAAGATATCATGAGTTGATATAAGTACGGATGACGATGATAGTCATGTCACTAGGCATTGGTATGGATAACGGTTGGTGAACTGTTTTTCGAACGTGACCGAATAATGACAATCACTTGGAAAAGCATGTAGTCAATGATTTATCGTTTGGTTATTCAGTGCACGATGTAGTCCTTTGACCTGAGACATTGTAGTCAGATCCGATATGGATGCGTATGGTTCATACGGTGTATAAGTACGAGACTAATCATGTTTCGTACAATAAAGCCTATTTGGTCTGCGTTGTTCATATGTGAAAACGAACGATAGTCAAGAGGGGATCCATTGACCCGAAATATAGGATCGGGAGTACCGCCGACTCCACCGGATTCGAGTTCCTAGACGAACATCGTAATGTCAGAAAACTGATCTCTGGCCAGAGTCTATTATTAGTCATACAAAATAAGTTTGTGATGACAATTTCGGACATATTGATCGACAATTCGGTAGAAGATCGAGTTTAGGATTTTGACGTTCTATGATCCAACTCGATTAGGATATCTCAATGGAGGACTTTACCTGTATGGTACGTATGATCTGAAATGGGTTCGATGAAGTATTTCTTCATCGTGGTTTAAGGACTATGCACTTGCTAGATGTTTACCATAGTCGTTGGGCCTCCAGACAGGTTTTCGGATTCTCCAGAACTGGCCCACGGCTAATCCACGTGGACCTACATGGTCACACCAATAGCCTTGAGAAGTTAGAGAAGGATGAGAAGAGAAATGATTATCCAAAGGGCTAGCACCTTTCGAGGTTATAACAGGATTTCTATGGTAATAGTTCATAGAAAACTATTTGTGACATTTTAAGGATTAAATGGTCAAGCAATAAATTATTATATTTAATTATTATATCTTAAAGTGTTAAGATTAATGAGATGAACAAAAATAACCTTTTAATAGTTAAAGGGTAAAAGGGTAACTTTATGGGTTGTCATTGTAAACTAGTTTAGTTACATGGGCACTAATAATATTGATTATTCAAAGGGTAGCTAATAAATTCATGTCCCTTTAAAATAAGATTTTATTGGGCTTTGAGTGAAAAATAAATAATTGCAAAATTGCCCAAGTATATAAATGCAAAAGGTTGCATTTTTGTTCATAACACACCATTGTTCACTCAAAGCAAAACCAAAACTCTCTAAAAGCCACGACCACTCTCTAAACCTCTCAAGGCGGTGTTAAAGTGTGGAGGTCTCATTACTTGAGGCGATCTTCATCAATCCAAAGCAAAGGAGTAGGTATAATCTCTTTTCCAGCTTTGTTTGAAAACCGTTTTTTAGAATCCATGCTTTCATGCTTCATTCTCCATCTCCACCACTCTTCATGCATGCTGATTCTTTCAAATGGTATCAGAGCTAAAAGCTCCTTGCATGTCGAATTTATAAGCTGTTGGTGCATGTGTATGTCTCGGCCATCTCTTAACTTTGGAAAACATGTTTTTCTTCTTGCTCTAATATGTTTGGGTATGTTAGAATATGATTTAAGCATGTTTGGATGATGATTATTGCATGAAATGTGTTGAAACACATGCATGCATATATGTCATTTTCGGCCATGACTAGTTTTGCCATAAAAATGTCATTTCATTCATGTATTGATGAATGATGTTTTAGGAATGTTGCATGATGATTCATTTAGAAAAATGTTCATGCATGTTCATTTCCATTACTTTGATTAAATGGTTTATGCTTTGACATGCTAAATGTGTTACTTTAATTTGATTAAAGTGTTTTTGCATGAAGTGTATGCAAATGTTGCAGTGTTTAGTGGTAGAATTTGATGTTAGCATAAAGTTTGGATTATTAATTCATATGATGAATTGTGATATTATTATGTATGATGGTGGTAAATTTAATGTAGGATGTTTAATTTGATTAAATTATCTATATATGCTCATGGCATGGCATAATTATTATATTTTTGAAATGTAATAATTTGGTTGTTTGAATGGTTTCAAAATGATGAGCAAGATGACATGATTGTCTTTGAGAAGAT